CAATTTCAAATAAATTTTTAAGTAGAAGGAGGTCATATATTTTGCATCTCCACATCAATTAATATTGGCCTCTAATCTAAGTTATAATCTAATTAAATCAAATTTAAGTAAAGGAAGAAAAAACCACTCACATTAGGTGCTTTTCAACTTCTAATAAATGATATCTTTTCTCAATTTTTTGATGATTTTGTTGTTTGTTACTTGGATAATATCTTAATCTATTCTAATAATATAAAAAAGCATGAATTTTATATTTGTTGTGTATTACAAAAACTTAGAAATGTAAGATTATATGTCAATTAAAAAAGTGTATATTCCACACTACTCAAGTTGATTTCTTAGGATACATCATTTCTAATAAAGGACTAATGATAGATCCAAAGAAGATTCAGACTATCATGGATTGGATGATTCCAAAAACAATAAGAAATGTACAATATTTTTTAAGCTTTCTTAATTATTATTAGATCTTCATTAAGAATTTTTTTCAAATTTTAGCTTCACTTATACATTTGACTTATAAAGAAAAACTTGAATGGTATAAAGAAGCCAAAGCATTGTTTGATGCTTTAGAAAAGAAATTTATTTTTGTATTATTCTTATATCATGTTGATTTCTCGAAGGTATTTTTTATGGAAACAAATGAATCATACATTGCCTTGGATGCAATATTATTATAAATAAAAGTAGATAAAAAAATTCCATACATTAGCTTTTCATTCCAAAAAAATTTCAACATCCAAGATTAATTATAAGATTTCCAAAAAAAAGCTCCTTGCAATCATCGATTCATTTTAGAAATGGCATCATTATTTAGAAGACACCTTGAATCTAATCATTGTATATATAGATCACAAGAACCTCGAGTATTTCATGTCAACATGTGTTTTGAATTATTGCCAAGCTTTTTGAAGCATGTTTTTATCATGATTTGATTTGAAGGTTATTTATTGACTCAAAAAATAACCAAGTCTATTAAGCACCCTTTCTAGACCTTCTTATCTTACACCAAAAGAAAAAAAATGCATCTTTTGATCAACTAAGAATAATTTTCTTGAAGCCAAAGTATTTTTATCTTTGAGCAATAAAATCAACATTGATTGTTGATTCAACCTTTGTCAAGCAAATTCAATCAAGTATGTCCTTTGTTCTTCTTATCCATAATATCAAAAATAATTCTATTAAGTTTTATGATAATTCGAAGTTCAAGTTCAAGAAAAACCTATTTTATTTTGAAGGAAAATTATATATTCTAGAAGGTAGAGCATGATTACGTATTCTTCAAACTCACTATGACTTTTTAGCAACCAAACATTTTCGATATAATAAGTCTTTGAAGTTGATATCAAGAGATTTTTGGTGGCCTCAAATGTGGAAGGTAGTCAAAGCTTTTGAACAATCACGTGATATTTATTTAAGATCCAAAATTACTCACCATTAATCTTATAGACATCTTCAGCCTTTACTTATTCCAGAACAACCACGATCTTTCGATTCTATGGATTTTATCATGGATCTTCTAATCTTAAGTTTGTAGGATTCTATATTCATGGTAGTAGATCATTTTATCAAAATGGCATATTTTCTATTATATACAAAATCTATCACAAGTGAAGAAATAGCTAAATTTTTTCTTAAGAACATCTATTACTATCAAAGATTGTCTAAAGATATTATATCGAAGAGGAGGATTCAATATATATCAAGATTTTGGAGAATCCTTTTCAAGATTTTAAAAGTGGATATAAAACTCTCTATGACTTTATATCTCCAAACTGATATGTAAACGATATGGATGAATTAAGTTTTAGAGTAGTACTTGAGGTATACTATCAACTATAATCAAGATGATTGAACAACTCTTTTATTATTATTATAGTTTATGCACAATAATTTGGAACATTCTTCCATTCAATAAATATCTTTCTTTTTCAATTATGATTATTATCTATGACTTAACACTTTTGTCTTTTTAAAAGTTGATAATCTTATGGTACAAGATTTGATAAATTATTTATCAAAGCCCTTGTGATAAGTTGGACTATTATAGACTTAAATCTTTTCCAATTAGTGAATAAATCAATCTTGTTGCTTATTAATTATATCTACTAGAGTCTATGAAGATCCACCCCATATTTCATGTATTTTTTTTTGAACTATATAAGACAATGAATATCTCAGGAAGAAGACAAATGCTACAATTGAAAGTCTCTTGAAGATGATGAAATCAAGATGAAGACATTTAAGAACCACATGTCCTTCCTCCATTAGATGGTAAGATACAACATGTTTAGTATCATGACCTTGAAAGAGACTCCCGATGTTTGGTGATTTTAATAGATATAGAAACAACTCTTGACAATGTTCTAAATATTTTATTTGAAAGAAGTTATGAAGGCCTCAATAATAATCAAATAATATGGTAGTATTCTTGCTTTGGTATAGAACACTATCAATGGCTGAGAAGACCTATTAACTATCTTTGAAGAGAACAAAGATTAGACTATGTGGCAAATACAATTTGTCACATCTTAGATTTTATTAATATATGATAATCGCTCTTTGTGGAATTCCTCACTAGAATGGAGAGTAATATTATGAATATATATATATATATATATATATATATATTCTAATAAATATCTGTATGATTAAGTAGAAATAGGTAAAAGTAATCAAAATTATGTTAATTTTATAATACCTTTTGGAAAAGCTTCATAAATCCTACTTTGACTTTACATGTATTTATAATTGATTGATAAATTAGAAACTTGATCAATAAATTAATCAAGTATTGATAGCTTAGAAAATAAGTTAATTATGTGGCGCACATATAAAAAACTTGCTTTGTAAGTTAAGATACATGTCATGCAACATTAACATGTTTTAGAGGTCCTAAAACATTCTACAATAAATGTCATATCTATTATTTAAATGCATCAAGAACAAATTTCTTTGAAAAAAATCCACTTGTTTTTTAAAATCTCAGTATAATATTTATTAGCAATACATATTTTAGCCAAAAAATAATTAAATTATTTGTTTATTAATTTTTTGGTAATTAGATACTTATAGCCAAGAATTACCATTTGGCTCAAACTATATGCTAAGTTTGTCAACAAATATTTTCCATCAATAAAGTATTTTTTGGAATTTTTTAATATTTCCATCTTCTTAAATATTACTACATCTTAATACAATCCAAGGCAATTTGTAATTAGCCAATGATATGGCAATTAAAGACATAAACAACTTGGATATTAACAAAACATCTCTTTTTTATGTCAAAGAATGCTTCTTCATCATTCTTTGGGGATTGTCTTAGAAAGATTTGTGGCTTGTCAATAAGTCTAATGCAACCTTCAAATCCTAAAAGACTAAAAGACTTATTAATTTGAAGCCTTTGGACAGTATTTGACTATTATAAATATTGTTGTTTAAGTGAAAGAATTGCCTAAATCACTTGTTTTGTAAATATACACACTATATTATTGCCAATATGTCAAATACTTTTTAAACTTTTATTGTTGGCTCCATTCCCGTATGACCTAAGATGCTCCAATGCTATAGCCAATTTTCAAACAATTTCACTTTGTAGGCAATAACTCTTATTTTTTTTAAAATGAAGTGGTCTTTGATAGCTAAAAGTACCATCTAAAAACCCCTTCTTGATATTCTTGCATAAAATAAACTATTATAAATATTGTTGTTTAAGATTTTGATATAATATTTTGAGTGAATATATAACAAGTACTATTGATTGTGTCATGAATCACTATAAGTTCTTTTGTATTATTAAACTCAAAGAAGTTGTTTTGAAATATGTTTTTAATCTTCATGCAATTTTTTTAGACATTTTATCAAATTCTTCATCAACTAAGAAAGTGGACAATATTTCTAACTCTTAGAGGATTTGTTATTTTTTATAGTGTTGAGGCATAGTGAGGTTGTAGTGTGGTATGCAATCAAAGAGGTTTAGAATTTGTTGTTTTGCAATGTGTAAAAGAAGGACAAAGTTGTGATGTGGTATGGAATAATAGAGATTTAGGATTTGTTAATTTTTTTTAGTGCAAAGGCTTGATAAGTCATTGGTGTGGTATGGAGTCAAAAGAAGAAGAAAGCTAAAGTAAGCAACATTCTTTGTGATATTTCATGCATCCCTCTTTTGAAATTTCAATTTCAAAATCACTCACCTCACAAGGTGGGTGATTTGGTGAAGTATCAAGTGATATTTCAAAATATCACTCAATACTTCAAGATATCATTATAGGTGAAATATCACCCAAAAACCTTAAGTTTGAATACTCTTAATATACATTTGGGAATTGCAGAGTGATTTCTCACATATTTCAATGTGTTGGTGTTCAATCAAATCAACGTAATTCCAATTTATCATAGATTTTTAGCCCATGTCTAAGCGGTCTCTCTCAGCTGGATTACACCAAAAGGTTCAAACCTCACGATTGTCTGGCACCACTTGACTCAAACTTGTCCCGCTTTGCTTTAGCCACAAGAAAACCCCAAGCAACACCCAGATTGCACAAATGTGGCATGCGTGACAAGACCCCATAAATGCAAATGGGAGTTATTAGTTTATCCAACAAATCACTTTGCAATACCACCAATGGGAACAGAAAAACCATGTTAAAGAGGCAAGATCATGTGGGGAAGGAAAATCATGGGAAAAGGGATCTAATGGCACACACTTGTGAATCATTGGATGAAAACGGTGAAGATGATATGCTGTGGGAGGATCAAAATCCACAGGTGAGTTGACCAGATAGATTTCTCCATTCATGAGAGCACAATAAATAAATGGAGTTGTGACTTGTTCATCGGAGGGATACAAAAAAAGACAAAAAGACAAAAGATAAAAACACAAATTTGGGGGCGTGACAATCAATGCCGGTACCGGAATGAAGATACCATTCCATTCATTCAAATGGTGGAGAAGGATGGCTCCGAGACGTTTTGCCAAGAGGGGGAGTAAGGGGGGGGACAAGCCAAGTCCAGGCTCAGACCCGGACACGGCATTCACTCGCACTGTCAAAGCTCTGAGGTACGTCGCCAATCTTTCGGTGACTTATCCAATCGCCTCTCCATACTCTTACCCTATCAGTGCCGCGTCTGGTCAGTTCAAATCACTCGCTTTCACACACTCCAGTTGCCTTTTACTGTAACGTCGCGAAGCTTTGGAACAATGCATTGGGAATGGAGAACGTTGGGACCTTGTTGGCTTGTAGCTAGACTGCAACCATGCAGTTTGAATTTTTATTAACGTTGAGACAGGTGACGGAGGATGGGGAGTGGAGGTGGGGGACCTTGTGGAGAGTTGCGCCTGAAAGGTTAGAGATGTTTTGAGAGGTTTGGGAATGTGCAGAGAGGAATTGGAGTGAAGAGTTAGTGTGTGGGTGTTGTTGGGAGATGTGTGGGGTGCTGTAGTTTGAAGGGGGATGACGATTGGGTGGATGGAAATGTGGAGGGATGGCGAGGTGGAGTTGTTTGAGGGCGATGACCGACCCAGGGGTGTTTATCATCGCAAGCCTCCGCGGCCTCGTGGGCGGGGACGGAAAGATGAAGTGGAGGTGAAGAGGAGCGCCGAGAGGCTATCGACGTTCCAGAAACTGGACCGGGAGATGGGCAGATTTGTCAAAGCGCAGGGAGGACTGCGAAGGAACAATGGCATGCAAGGGTCCGAGGAGGATAGCAGTGTGAGGGGTGTGAGACATGGTGTGAAGTGGAAGTGGGGGTGGATGTTTGAGCAAGACAGTCTTTACTGGGATACGGTGCGACGACAGAATGTGTCCGGTGGTGAGGAGGAAGATTCATGGCGGGCGCGGTCACATGGGATACTTGATGCTGTGGATGCGAAAGATGGGAGCTGTGTATATGTCTGTGATTCTAGCAGCGAGTTTGAAGATGATGGCGTTTTGCTACATCCCTGTAACATCGACCATGATTCTGCTAGCTCGGATACGGAATTGAAACTGCGTCGAACGCATGCTCGTGCAAGAAAGATGGGTGGCAGACGAAAGGATATGAAATCAGAGGTTACTCGTGGCGCTGGGAAGTGTATTCCGAGGGTCCAGAATTATATGACCGACTATGAGAAGAATGATTGGGAGTATGCAACGACGAACCAAGACTGCCCTGCTGTTCTGGAGGCTAAGTGTGAAGTGTTGCAAATGGAGAAAGACCTTGCTGATGAAAGGTTGCGGCATCAGAGTGCAGAAATGGCCCAAGCTGCAGAGATGGCGCACTGTCTGCGGTCAACAGTCCATACTATCCTTCAGGTAAAGTGTCCGTCCAGACTGATCCTCTTCGGCTTACAAAAGTTACTCTTGAGAAATGTCATCGAGATACCAGTCCCAATGTTTCTTGTTTCTTTCTCACTTAACTGAGTGTAATTGAGCGTGCTTTAATGAGAGTTGTCCATCTCTGCCTTGTGTGGTTGGCGGTTTTGGCAAAAATAGAATTCTGGAGACTGCTGAGCTCTAATTTCGTGATGTGTTGAGTCATAGGGAGCTAAAAGAGGTATCGTATCAGCTCCCTGTACGCCTGGTCGGCATGGTGTGGAGGACAGTCCTGGTCTCCAACAAAGACTTCAGCGCGTCCAAACGTTTAATGCGCAGCGTGATCTTGAGGATCAAGCCAAAAGTTTTCAGAGCAGGATCGAAAAACTCCGACAAAGATCTCAGCTACGAAGTGCAACCTCGTGCATACCGAAAGGCCTTAATCAAAAGGTGAATATTAGCAGCTCGTCGTCGACCACACAAGTGGTGAGTATCAGATTCCATTTCCATATTTTGTATTAATTTCATAATGCTGATGTTAGCTGACGTTTTTACATCTGGAGCAGGATCTTCACATATTTTCTGCTCAATAACGCAGTTCTCTGATGTTTGCTTGTGCTGATAATTCCGATTGAAAGGTGCACATGCGTATATGGAAAATATGGAGTGGTACCATTTAAGGGTAGTTTTTGCATTATCCGATTATTTGCGGCTAACATCTATGTGATTGATGATCCCTGTTAAAGGTCCCATCTGATGGGGAAGAGTGGGCACAAGTCCAAGAAGTTTTGAAGCAATTAAGAGGCAGGACAGGATCCTTACAGCAGAATTGTGAAAATTGGGAAAAGCGGGCCTTCTTCGCTGAGGCGAAAGCTGCTTCCCTGCAGATTGAGGTACACTGCTCGAGACACCTAGCTACGGATAGAAATCTTACATCTTGCTAACCTGCATATTTATGAAAACCACGCCGAAACAAAGTTAACTTGCTATCTCAAGCATATCTGACCGAATAGTCCTTCGTTATGTGAACATGTACCAGGAGGAGAAATGGCGGGTGGAAGTTCAGAAAGCCAAGGAAAGAGTAGAAGACCTGGAACAGGAGCTTGTGCAAGTCAAAGCTACTCTCGAAGAAGTCAGAAATCGCCATGCTCTGGAGCAGAGCCGCTTGCTGGGCTCTGGCAGTAACCATGGATACACTTTTGTTTTGCAGCCGATAGTCACTAATCATGGGAGCGCCAGATGCATATGCGCCGTCTCATCTGATTGTGAGGGTCATTGCCGGGACTCTGGTTTCATCAATCACTCAACCTGTGGTGATCACCCTTTCGCAGCTGTTTCAAAGGATGCCACTATCGTTAGTGATGAAATATCTGCTGATCATGAACCTGCAAGTGGTATCAATGCCATGGCTGCACCTCATACCCCTGTTTCTGAAGAAGAACGGAGCCAAACAAGCTCGCAATGCAGCAGCGGTAGACACAGATACGAAGGAGTCTTGGAAGGCGACTGGGATGAGTCTCCAATTATTTCCACTATAGATGCTGAACAATCCAGCGTTCACGAAACTTCGAAATCCGAGGTGGAGAAATCTCTGTCACAAAAGTGGTTCAAGCAAAGACCCAAGAGCAGAAGAACTGCCTGTGACGTGGGAATCTCTGAGGGTCGTTCAACGCTTGGAAAAAGCCCCATTACGGGCAAAATCCATGAAGCGGGACGGGGATTGAGTGGGCCAAATGCTGCTGTTCGCAGGGTGGGACCGGTGCTCGGTGGCAACATGAAGGCGGTACCTGGCGCTTTTCTTCTCGAGAAGAGAGCACCCCTGAAAGAAATCAAACGCAACCTTGCAACCGAAATCGAATGTACATAGCTGCTTCTGGAATGCTTTTGCGTGTGTACCAGGTTAGAGTTGACTGAATTATGGACACCTACCTGAGAACAGGCGATCATGTCAGGCTTGTAGTGATGTTTTTTTAGTTTACATATCCTAACAGTATTTGGTGCCAACGGAACTTACTGATTGCTGTAGACTGCCGCATCAATCCACCATCTATCCAAAGACGTGGATGCCCCATACGTATGATTCAGCATCTGTAATGTATATTATGAATCGACGAAGGCATTCGCAACAAATTTGAGTTTCCACAGTGCCTGTGATGCAAGATTTAAGTTCTAAGCTTGCATGGACGTTGGACTAAGGCTATGCTTCAAAGCAACTGAATATCTCATCACTAACTGAGCCTTTTGTGGAGCAAAGATGGTTGCGAGTATGTCCGGGGACTTTTAAGAAAACTACATAAACAAATTCGAACTTCTGTTTCGATGCAACTGATTGCGGAGCAGGTAGAGAGAACTTCCAAGTGTAGAGTAAAACTGTTCGGAGTTGACAGCCACTTTAAACGAAGGGCGGCTGCTCACTACTAAAATATTATATCTGCTACTATTATTATTACTACTAAAATATTATTATGAAGAGATTTCTTGCAACGAAAAAACTTTGGGAAGCCATTTTTAGATCACACATGTGTGATCGATCAGAGAGATTAACGATTTATGTAATTATGTTGATGTCTAGGTCAAGTTCTCGTCTATGTCTCCGCAAATTAATTCTTTAACCAGTGTTAAACCCGATGGGACGACTCCCAACTTACTACAATCAAATTTACGAGACTTTTAAAAAACAAGATTGAACACTTTTTATCGACTTTGTAGGGACTGATATTGTAAACAACCCTAACTACATATTGTAGCGCTTCAAGCGTTTTAGTGCGTCTTAAACTCTGGGTAAGTTTTGTAAAGTGGTCTACCAAAAGTGCAAAGAAGAATGCTTGCAGGCCAGCAAGGACAACTGTAGTTTAGAATTTCAACATTAGGAAAAGAGGCAATGGATACCCCTACTCCAGCATCGCTGAAACACAGTGTACGGAACTTAGTAGGTGTCAGTTGCAGAGCAGCTGTTAGGCTTCTCCTTCCCTTCCTCATCATTACCTTTGCCCGCCCCTCCACCTTCCTGCTGCTCTCCATCCATCCCCCTTCGCTTCCGCCTATATTTAATTCCAGTTCATGTCATCATCTCAAACAGCTCCGTGTGGTACAGAGTGGGACATTGTATTGGTGGAAGAAGGTAGCGGCGTCATTAGAATATTCGTGATCATTATAGCCTGTAAGATGTAAGGGGGGTGTTGTGTTGACTGATTGGATTCATTGCCGCCATCTTGCCATGGCCGGAGCAGTTTTCTTCATGGGTTCTTTTTGACGGATGCAACGCACGTTTCAAAGGTTTGCAGGTGTGACTGGAGTGGGTGCAATGCGGACAAATTCTATGTTATTCATAGGAACGTTAGGATGCAATTCACCCCGTTTGGGTCGGGTGGGTAGCGCCCGTAGAGAAGGCACGAGATGTGCAGCATTGCGTGGTAAGAATTGTGAGAATTGTATCGTGATGCGTGGTCGAATTTGAGGCTAATGTTGTTGAGACCTTTGAAATTGGATGGCTCAAGGGCCATTGTCAATGAAGCTGCGAGACTAGGGTGGAGGTCGAGAAGTAAAGGTCAGTAGTTTCCGACGATGGCGTTCGAAGAAGAACTGCGTAGCATGCACGATCAAACATTGCGACCTAGGCTGCTGCACGCAGTCATGGCAAACCATCTACCTGATGATAAACAGGTGACCAGGACGCCGGGTCAATTGTCCATGGCTGTTGAATCCCTTCGTCAACACCACTTGCTGTGGGAAAGCTCGATTCTCGCTTGTCCTGAGTTGCATTACATGCAAGGAGCGAAGGTATCGGACTTCAACAATGGAGCTGTGGACGCATGGATTGAGAAACTGCTGAATTTACTCTCCAGCACTGTAGTATGTACTACCGCATTGCCCTTTAACCTAGTTTTCGAGTGTTTAATTTCATTGGTTATTTTTCGAGGCAGGTTGATGGCCATGATTAATTTGTTGTATACTTGCGATTACATATGTGAGTAAAATCTGTGGAGTGGAGTAATTGAATTAATTCCATTCTGGCGAGGGGATCATTTCGAAGTGCTTGTGAATTGAAAGAAAACAAGCTCGTAAACTTGTCAATACAGGGGTTGTGTTGTTCATTGTGATTCATATTGACGAGAAGGTTTTCGGTCACTGTTACATCCTTTAGCGTTTAGACAACGTAGGCTAATGCAGTTGCTAGTTACTGAGGCTCTTTAGTATGCCATGCGGGTCTGAAGGCAGAGAACAGGTGGGCAGGAGCCTGTCTTCTTGGCGTGACTTGTCAGGAATGCACTCGGCAACGCTTCTTGGAGTGTTACAGTTTGTGGTTCACTAAGCTGTTGATACCTCTAAAGGTGTGTGTTGGATGAAGAGATTAAACCCTACTTTTCTGTGATAAGCTTCCTAGTGATGGAACATATTAATTTACTCCTTGTGGATGGATAATATCTTAAATGTGTGTGCTATGTGTAACATCCATGTCCTATCGTGCGTCGTAAACTTAATGGAACTGTTGCTCACTTCACGAGCTGGATAATGATCTCGAAATGCAGCAACCGACAGATCCTATCTTTGTGAGAGCAGCCGCGTGCGCTTCTCTCACTGATCTTATTGTCAGGTATGCTCAACGTCGTTGCACGCTGGCCAGGATGACGTCCCATGTACTAAACTTCACAACCAGTAACTCGACTATTGGAGGTTGTAGGCTTGGTGAGTCTGGAGATAAAAATAATGCCTAATTAGATCTCTTAGAAATCTCTGGTTGAGATAAAAATGGTTGTAAAGATTGCTTGATTGCAACCTGTATCAGATTAGGAGGTCTGATTGAATTTGCTGGAGTACGACGAGATGGCGCCAACCTCATCTCGAAGTTGGTACAACCCTTGCTGCAAATACTTGGAGACAATGACTCAAGCGGCATTTGGGTTTGTACCCAGGGTGGCATACACTTTGTGGTAGATTGATGCATTATCAGACTCTATTCATTACTAACATGTACTCTGCTTTCTTTGTTCGTTGGTATAGTATGCTCTGGCATCTTTTGTTTGATATGTTTTTTTTTCATTATTAACTATATGGTGGTTAGCTATTGGTTCATAAGATTTTATGCGGTGTGATTCTGTGCAGAATGAGGCAATGGATCTTCTGTCTGCATTGTTACGGTATTTTCCAGCCTGCTTGCGCCAGCAATCCAGTAGTGTAAGCTCACTCTTCTCAGAACAAATATGTTGGCAGCCTCTGATAGATCCACGTTTACTGTGACCCACCGTAATTTACACTGCTATTGAAATTTGTTGATTTGTTTTCCTTTAGTGCTTCTGATGAATATCTAGTGTTTGTAATTCAATCTACGTGGTCTCTGATGAGATGTGCAGTTTGAGGCTTTATTGGTAGCACGTATAATGGATGTAGAATGCTTTACAGCCATTCCTCAGGTATGTCGACTTTCTGGTGAGTGAAACTCTTGCACATTTTCATTGCATGCGCGAGATGTAAATCCTCTGTCTCAATTTCCCGTTGCGTTCCAAATGCCCTACGTTCCTACGTTGCGACAGCAGCCAATCACGGATACTTGTTTTCAAACTATTTTTCTGCAGAAATGTGCAAAAACACTGGCGCTTCTTCCTAAAGCTCACGGGGATGCTACTACATGGAGCTCCTTACTACGTCGTATTCTGATTGCAACAAACTCCGAACTTGACTTCGCTTTTGCAAGTATGGAAGATGGTGAGTAATACGCGATACTAGAACTTGTAGGTTCATGTAGAACATAGATAGCAATGAATCCTGAAAAAACTCGAATTTAACCATTACATTACAGTCTCCACTGCAGAGGACGCAACTGCATCATTGCTTCCTCGTGGGGAAGAGCCACCTGTGCCACTCGGGGGCCGTGCAGTTTCTTCAAACGCTTGTGTACAACCAGGGAAAAGTCTCTGGGAGCGTCTCGTGCCCCGAGTTTCTAATCTGCTGCAATGCTGCAATTATCTCCTGACCACTCCGTTTCCAGTACCGGTATGATCTTATCGTCAATGTGCTGAATTATTGCTATAAAGAAGCGATAATGAGTATATCTAGCATGAAAATGTCCAGGACGTATATCTGAACAATGTGGTTTGTCAGTAAGTAAATTACTTAAAGATGGAAGTTGTACCTACTTGATGCATGATAATTGTACCTTCTTATTGTGATCTTTGGTTGTGTTGTGATTATGAAGAAACACTTGATGTAGATGATCTGGGTTATACACAACGTATCCACCACACTGTACAATGTTTTCGAAAACCTCGCCTAAGCTGCTTCGTTGTTCTGAAACTGAAATAGGTACCCGCTCCGTTAGGTCCATTGCTGGCCCTCAGTATGCGTATATTACGTGTGGATGGGTCTAGATTGTCGTCAGCCTCACGGCTCGGAGGAACAATTCCCTCCTCGCACCAAGCTGCGTTGTATTCTGAACTCCCGGCATTGCATCTTACAGCCCTGAATCTCTTAGCCTCAACATTGCGTGGCATTCGCAGGTATTTCATTCCTTCATTATGCAATCTTCATGCTCCCATCTTGTGCAAGTTCTATTTCAATTTGAGAAGCATAGGGATCCGTGGTGGATTGAATTCTTCTGAGTGAAGCTGGATGATCATTATGAAGTATTTAATACAGCGCCTTCCATAATTTAGAGTCTTCATTATCCGTGACAGCCAACTTATACCACGAGCAGCTGATCTCGTACGTTTAATAACCGTCTATTTCCGGCGTTGTGGACGAGTGCATGCAACACTGCGCATTAAGCTCTATTCCATCGCTCGTCATCTCTTCGTGGCCATGGGAGCCGGTAATGATCTGACACCACCTAAACTGGATACTGTTCTCATTCCCTCAAGACAGACAACTGCAAAAATGCCAGTAGTGAAGCTAGGTTTCCTTACGTCATATGTTGATAAGGATTGTGTTACGAATGGGATTATCACCAATCTTACAAACATGCTTGAGGCGTAGGAATGGCATCTGGATTAGCACCTGCTATAGTGGGAAATGCACTTTCAGACTTGAAAGGTTCTACTCCTGAAGGAAGTATACCATCTCCCAAACTAGGACGGGGACCCCCCATCAGCAACTCAGTTTGGGCTTCTGGTGGATGGAGTGGTTCCCATGCTACCAATACAAAGAAACGGAAGGAACCAGGTGGCATTCCTGGCGAGAACTTATGCAGTGGTGTGGATTCAGCAATCGCCACAGGGGGGGGGACAGCCCCTGTTGCTGTTCAAATCGCTGCTCTTAAGGCTCTGGAAGCTCTCCTTACTTCCGTGAGTAATTCTTTTCTCTCTGGCCTGCAGTGTACGCATGTTGTGCAATGGAACTGAGTTTACATGTGTACTGTGCACATACATCAATATCATTCACCTCAGGAAAATGTGGTGTTGCTAATTATTGAGATTTAGCTTATTTTAAAGCTTCGTTAACCTACTGCAGGGTGGAGCTCTACTTTCTGAGCGATGGAGAGCAGAGGTAGATGCAGTTCTAGCTAGAGTAGCTATGGCCGCTGCAACAGGCTTTATGTCAACAAGTCTCAATTTGGAAGACGCCAACTTCATGGAAGGAACAGTTGCAAACCCTTCCTCAGGAGAGTTCCAAGTGGCTGCGTACCAAGCTCTGCTGGCTTCTCTTCTGTCCCCCTGCTGCCATCGCCCACCTTACTTGGCCCAAGGACTCGCAGTATTTCGCAATGGTATTACAGTCATGCTCCTAACACCCTCTGCTCTGTTATTTCTCTATTTTTTTGCAGCATTCTGCAACCAATCAAGACGAATTCATTCTACACTCATATTGCTTCCTGCAGGACGTCAAGAGGCTGGGACGGAAGTGGCCGCAGTCTGTGCACATGCACTTCTAGCACTGGAGACCTTGATACACCCCCGCTGCTTACCACCTGCAGGCACCCCTGCTGCTGTAGCAGCTGGTATGTCAGCAGGACGTGCCACATGCGCCACCCTTGTGCCTCACATGCAGAGAACTAGCAAGCCTCCTCCAACACCCGCCCCAATTCAAGATGGAATAACAACCGGAACTATGGCCAACGGATTTGCTGTCCCAGCTGTAATGTCAACGTTGAAGATTGGACAAGTTGCAATAGATCCGTGGGCTGAAGTAGACACATGGCTCGGATACGGAGAGGATTTCGGTAACGATGATAGCTTGTTTTATTCAGAATCTGATGGCATTCTTCATGTTGAAGATTTCTCTAATTCGCCGGGATATGGCGGTGCTCTTCTAAATGGGACAAGTGGTCAGGTAGCGCCTTCTTGTGGACCAAATGTAGAGAAACGAGCGGATAGTTGCATGGATTTGAAAACTCAAGTTGTTGGGGTTCCGAGAGAGACAGTCTTGTATGATTTGCAGCCAAGCCACATGGTTGGAGGGCATCCTAACCTTTTGCAGCCACTGGAGAAGAGTATTCTGGCTGAAGAGGAGTCTCGTCGGGAGCAGTGTGGGGTCGAGACTTTAAACTCTTCAGCCGCCGCGGAAACTCCCTCCCTAGGACCTAGCTTGCTGGATATACGGCCTGTCATGGCAGCTCAAGATACTGAAGCCATCGCTATGTCTCTGGAGATGGAGATGGAGAAATCTGCAACAGGGAGAATGGATAATCCTCATGGAGATGGACAAGATGGAGGTGATTTATGTTCGAGCATGCAGTCTAGATTGCTATCAACAGTGAACAGTTTCGATGAGACCAATAATTCCAATCAAGCACCTGGGGACGTATTTGCATACTCCAACGTGCCGGTGGACGTTCCAACAGATTCTGACTCCGAAGGTGCTTTCCTGGGCAATGTCGATGAGATTGATGAAGATGCTAAGTCAGATTAAACCCCCTAAGTGGGATTTCATACGTACATGATTGTAAAGTAGGTTATAATTTTACTTTACAATACTCGCATATATTATAACTCCTGCGATTAGGAATTATATCTTAACATCCTTGAATGATGGTTGTAGTTATTCCCGAAGGTAGAAATTGATAATTATCTGAATCTGAAGATGATTTTTAACCCCAATGGTCTCAACTTTTAAAACTTTACACGACGAAGTAGAATTACTGAATAGTCATTATTCTTAATTCTGCAATTATCAATTCAGCAATTTTACAGAGCGAACTATTCTGATACAGAAAGTTATCACACTGAAAATGAATAAGATGAACATTTATGGCCAGGTTTATGCTACTAATTTAATTTCAACTATCAAACATTGAAATTGACATAAAAATGATAAACCCTAATTTAACGATTTACGTATTTATTCGAATTCATATAAATTCTATTTCTTTCCTAACTCCTAGCAGGTATTATTCTTGACTAAAACATTAAACTACTCGATCTGTTTTAACCATAGCATATTTCTAATCTTGTTTCATTCGAAAAAATCCAAATCTCGAGAAGACACACTGCACACCTGAAACATTCATATAACTTGGTGGTGCTTCGAAAATAGTCACTTAAGCTAAGCTACTGTAATAAATTTGTATCGAGATACTGTCTGTTCGTAGTGCAGTATCCAGACTGGACCATGCAACTGAGCACCTAGGCTACCTGCTGCCAAAACTCGACATTCCCCTCAGGCTAAAACACACATATAAATCAAATTTCCTTTTGATAAGTCCAAAGTTTCCACCATTTCTATTGTTCCACTCTCCGGAGTATTAATGCAGCCGACATCGTACAGTTTCCCACTTTGCAGGGGTAGAATCACAGTATTATAGAGTTATTATACAGTGAACCTACTATACTAATCTAGCAGGGCTTTCCGAGACTAGTTCATTCTGTGTGGAACTTTAGATGAATAATAACCTAAAAGTTTCAAATACATAAAAATTTTACCAGTCAAATATTTCTCTCTAAAAAATCACAAATCCGCTCCTCCATATACATCCGGTCTCTTAGCCCCCGAGGCATGTGTCTCTCGTCCGGGAACACCAGCAGTTCATAATCCTTGGAGGCAGCGGTCAGTGTGTTGATCAGCCGAGCCGTATGCCGAAAATGTACATTCTCATCGATCATGCCATGGACCAGCAACAGTTTCCCAGTTATCTGATAAACGTGGTGCATCACAGAGCTGTATTGGTATCCTGCTGGGTTGCTGGCCGGGGTTCCCATGTACTTCTCAGTATAGTACGTATCGTAGCCATCCCATGACGTGACTGGTGCCCCAGCCACTGCGCAAGAAAAAGTTTCTGGGCATCGTGCTAGTGCCATTGAAGCCATGTAACCTCCATAGCTCCATCCATATATGCCGATTCGGTTCGGCATTGCAAGACCTTGATTTACTAGCCACTGCACTCCTGTTTGCTGATCGTCAACGTCGATCATCCCCATGTTGTGCTTGATTGCACCTTCAAAATCCAAACCTCTTCTCGCACTACCTCTGTTATCCAGCTATACAAACAAATTCAAACCAACGTCAAGTCAGGTTTCATAATTTAGGTGAAGCCAGGGAACAACAGAAGTGCTACAATTATTATCTGCAAGTACACGCATTTATAACAGGATATGGAATAGAAGTCTACCTATGAATGTGATTTCAAATACTATTTCGCTAATAAAAAGCAAAAAGAAAGTGCATGAAGAGAAAGAAAATGAATCACCTTCCAAACAAGGATGCCTCTACTCCTCAGATATTGAGCACGCATATCCACCGTATTCATCCAGGAATTGCACACTATTTGCACATTAGGGCCACCATAAACACTCACCACCGTTCTATAAGGGGGGCGTCCAAATTGTTTAGAATCTGGAATGTAAATTAGTCCATGTAGGACAGTTCCGTCGCTTGCAGTGAGAGATTTGAACTCGGGAGGGGTGAGTTGCAACCTCCGCGCGTGGTAAGTGGGGGCTGGTTGCTCATATATTGAGATGAGCAGCTTTCCAGTATCTAAAGACCGCAGCAACAGCCTGGGTGGAGTGTCTAAAGAGTCGTGTATATCAACAAACTTCTTCATCTCGTGATCTAGAACCACAATGTGCCGACCTGCCCCTTGAGTCAGCCGCTTGGGCTCTGCCAGGTTCGGTTCCGTACAATCCAGACTAGCGCTATACAAATGCACTTCTAAAGGGCTATCAAATGCTCCTGTAAAGTAGACCAAGCCGGCGTCTTCGTCCACTCCTGCCACTTGCTCTACCATCCAGCTCCCCTGTGTGAGAGCCCTAATGCAATTGCCAAACTCATCATGCATATACAAGTGCCGAAATCCTGTCTTTTCGCTTGCCCATATAAACCCACCTGAAAGGGGTCCATGGTATTTTCGTAGAGGAGTAAAACTATCGTGCAAGTTAACCCAAACTTCGCTCTCCTCGGTGAGTAACACAAGCCTCTTGCCTGTCAGTGGATCAAATCTCAGCAGCTTTAATTTTGATTGAGTTCGATTTTGCACTTGAGCTGTAAGATAACCATTGGGCAACCACGTGACTCTTGCTAAATACTCTTCATCCTCATGACCTTCACCACAAAGGCCAACCTCCAAATCCATCCACACTACACTATCCCCATTTGATGGCACCACGCCTAATCGCACACTCACGTTTGAGTGGCCCGCAAAAGGGTAGGCGTGGACTTCTTCAGCCTCCCCACCCGTTGTCACCTTCCCCTGGTGCACAATCGTAAAGGGTGGGATCCTGGATGAATCTACTTCCGCAAAAGCAATGTAGCGACTATCAGGCGACCACCAGAAGCCATTACGTCTATCCATTTCTTCCTGTATCGTACAAAACTCTGCCATTTAGTGACTTCCAGCAACTCGAAACCTCGCGTATTCTGTCATTCTGATGCCTGTCTAGTGCAAAAAAACTCGAAGCTAGAAAGTAAGGAAGTAAAGAAATATTCTAAAGTGCAACTCAATCATAATTCAATATTATAACCAAGCTAAGTGCATGTAACACGTGAGAAGCCAACTGACATAGCATAAGTTCTTAATCTGAAAGCCCATATTACCTGCGCTATGTACTCGGCGAGCCCATGAGTCTGCAACAAGGACAGCACGAGTAGAATAAGATATATTCCAATGTAACAGTGCATAAACCCCAGGGTAACACATCATGTGTTGACATGAAAGAAATACAGTTAATAAGGCTCAAAAATTTATACATAACATCAGGATCAACTTACAAATGAACTTGATATAATGCTTCTGGAGCAGATAGCTCATTTAAACTCGACGTTATCATCTATTAATGATTAGTACCATCACCCTACCACAAGGAATGGAAGCAATGGCCCATGCAAAACCCACCTTGCCAGTTCCACGTGCGCCATACGTAATTTGGATGGGCTCCCCAAATGCTAGTGGAACAACAAATAGTTCATCATCACGCACATAAGCTATAGAGGACGCGTCTGGCGAAAGTTGAGGGTCAAGTATCGGATTGGAAGGCGTGCTAGCCACTCGCAGTCGTAATTCAGATCCCACTCCTTGCACATAAATCTGTCATCACTCAAAATTCACATACATAAACATTAAAGTAGGTACATTTACCCTCACCACTGAATAATTACAAAAAAGTATTAAAAGAAGAAACTTGTTTCCATGTATAAACAGTACTAGACTATTTCAGTTATTAGTGATGCTAAGGCAAGGCCAACGCTGAGGTTGTCACTTTTACCTCCGGCTACACTGATCAAGGATTCCAAAAATGAGATTGTGAAGAACATGAGATTGGACATACCCCACTAGGAAGGGGAACCATGAGCCGGTGAGGAACACCCTTGGCCCACTCATAGCGTGTCACTCCCAGTCCTCTCTCTCGCAGCCTCTCCCTCCTCAGCTTCTCAACTGTGGAGAGATTGCCCTCGTCCACTCCTCCACCGGGAGGATTGACCAGCAACCGCTGCTGTTTCGCGACCACATCAAAAGCGTATATTTTTCTGCTGAGAGTGCTGTCAGGACTGTACAAATAAGTGATGAGCTTATCATCAGGACTAAACTGCACTGATCCAGGCGCAACATATCCTGGAAGAGGGTTTTGAACAATGTCCTCAACTGGGAAAAGCGTGTATTCATCTCCAAGGCTTTGGCTGTCAGTGGTGGGCATGGTGGTCTGACGAGGTGGCGGGGAAAGTGAGCCTGTACTAAAATTGGATCCTTCGGGATTGCCTCTGATGGATTGTGGGGACAAACTGACACCGAGCATACCACACCATCCAAGGAATGAGAATCTCTCGGATTTTCCAGCTTTCAGAGCCGAGGTTTTCGTCTCAGATGCTCTCTTCGCGAATTCGGGTTCCGCGGTGGAAACGTCCGTAACTTGATACCCCAGTAGCGACATCCAGCTTCACGCACATCTCGAGGTATCATCTGCCCCGCAACTCTGCCCCTGGAGCCTATCCACGGGAACTTGTACCGTGAATGTTGTCACAATGACAAAATCACCTGCCGATGCGAGACAAGCATGAGCTCATAAACGTCGCACATCAATTCCGTCGGTCACAGTTGCTGACCTCAACAGACCACATCAGATTCATGAGCGATATCCACTGGCGCACGAACAGCAATCATGACTTCTTCTGGACAACAATCTACATAGCAGAGAACTTGCCGAGGAAAGAAGAAAACTGTCTGCAAATTGTCTCCAGTTGATGCAACTAACGATCGAGCTCATCGAAACTCGTACACAACACACCCTAATCCACAATGCAACTTCTAAAAAGAATTCCTCCTAGGACGCCCATGCCGTGAGGTGAAAGCACAACATCAATGATGGCGTAATTGACAGATAATTTTCCTTCCGAATCGAAGACGATGTGGAACCGACAAAGGCAATGTCCGATTTGAAGGTCTTCAAACCCACATCCGACATTAACAGCAATTATACTAATTCCCTCAACAACAACGTCCCTAAGATACTCCCGACGACACGAACTCCCAACTGCTTCACAAGCCGATTGAGCAAATGCTCGCAGACGCTCACACTAGTAGATACATCATCAGTCCAGTTCCTCGCATACCTCAAAAATCGATCAAAGTTGGTGTCACCAAATTCAAATCCCAAATCCCGATGCAGCGATGGACACCCACTGCAACAGCCACATTCGCGAGCAATCCGCATCCAACCTCCGCAGCATACAAATCTCCTAATTCATAGCTAACCCACAGCAACCATCGTCGTCGTCGTCAAACCAAACTCACACGGCGAACACGAAGAAGTCAACAACACAGAACTGTGCTTCACTTCCCAAGAGCAGAAAGAAAAGGAAGCCCAGGAAGGAGAAATGACGTCCAGAGGATGTCGCCACTCGATGATGGCTAACTAAGGAAGACGACGACGACGACACAAGAACCACTTCAGGAATCCCAACCGCGATGTCTCAAACACCAAACTCTCAAACTCTCCCCGCTCTGCTCTCTCTCTCTCTCTCTCCCTCCTTCTCCACACACCAACTCCCAAACCTTTTTGATAATCTACGTGCTAATACGACTTATTCTTTGCACTCGCCCGCTATCTCTCTCCGCACAGATGCAGTTCCGCCACACCACGACCATGACTGACATAACTTACTTGCACGGAAGGAAGTGGTGCGTCTGATTCTGCTGCTCCTACAATCGGACTGGCACCGTCTCTGCAATCGCCATAGCCAACTTTTTCCCCTCTCCCTGCATTGGCGATTTCACTTACTTCACAGCGTGTCCATCGCGAGAAACAGATTGGAGAGATGAAATTGCGGTAACGTTTCCCCAGAATACAGCAAGCAGCACACGGTAAAACTCTCGCTCTCTCTCTGGTCTCGCTCTCTCTCTGGTCTCGCTCTCTCTCGCTGCAGGCGTGGACCAGTCAGTCAGTCAGTCGTGATGGTGTTACTCTTGCGAGCCCATGTTGCAGGGGTGCACTGTGCATTGGAACTGGAACGGAACGACGATTCCGCCCTTCTCCTTGACGACGCCCTTCGTTCTCATTTCGTTCGTTAGTTTGTTCGTTCGTTCGCTAGTTCGTTCGTTAGTTCGTTTGTTAGCTCGTTAGTTCATTCGTTAGTTCGTTTGTTAGTTAGTTCGTTAGTTCGTTTGTTAGTTAGTTCGTTAGTTCATTTGTTAGTTAGTTCGTTAGTTCTTTTGTTCGTTCGTTCGTTCGTTCGTTCGTTCGTTCGTTGGTTCGTTCGTCAGTCTCATTCGTTCGTTCGTCGCTAGTCTTCAGTGTCCGGTTGCAGGGTCCGAATGGGCCATGGAGAATTTAGTTGTTATGCATTTCGGTCCATTCTTCTTTCTATAAATTAAAGGAAGCATGTATTTGATGTGCTCTACAGACTTGCACATGATTCCACTTAATGATGAACCCACATATTCTTTACTTTGAAAAAGTCCATGGAGTAATTTATTTATATATATATATATATATATATATATTATCATCTTTCAAGTGTGTGATTCTAAATTTAGAATTATTTATTCTTAAATCCTAAATTACTAATTTATAAAATATTAAATTGCAAGTTACTAGAATTTTTAAAAAATATGAAATTAATAAAAATAATAATAGTTTCAAAATTTAGAAATAGGATTACAAACAAACACAAGATTGAAGTATTTCTTGTTTTTATTATATTTTCTCTCGAATCTTTTCATCATTACAATGTGCAATCCTTCTTGTATGTATTTATAAATATAGAAATATTATTTATTTTTATAATAATTCTTTTTGAAATATTGATGAGATTTTATATTATTTTGATTATAATATTTTTTAAATATAAAAATACTTTATTAAAAAATATAATATATGATAATAAATTTTTATAAATTACTTCTAAATAAATATTGTATGAACTAAATTTATATAGGTTGTATTATTGACTTAAAATTACATATATATTGAGTAGGATTTTCATGCACAAAAAAAGAAAAAAAGAAAAAAAGAAATGTATTGTTATTTCAAAGACAAAAGATAAAATAAATAAATAAATAAATAAGGCCATTTTACATAATCGAAATTGATACAAGATTATATCTTGTGATTCAAGTTCCTATATCTCCAAATTGGCAATGTTTCAGAGGCAGAGATAATGGATTAATTTCTACATGGTTTGAAATCTAAGGTCTAGCAAGAGGTGGAATTAAGGAATTCTCAAATGTTTGAAGAGGCAATTAGGATTGTAGAGAGGATTAATACTATAAATTTAAAAAATTGTAGAGCACAACCTATAGCATAAGGTCCTATGCTACTATCTAATATTATGGCACAATAATCAATGCCAATAGAAATTACTACCCTACAAGGATCATTGATACCACAAAGACAACAAATATTGGTACAAAAGGGATTGTGTTTCTATTGTTGGGAGCCAAGCCATCAGATCGGAGGTTATCCAAAATATCAAAATTCAATCATCAACAAAATAAGATAGGTTCATAGTCTCAAGACTCATAAAGTCAAAATAAGATAGAGCAAGGCAACAAGACTCCCTAGGAAAAGACACCAAGGGTTAATACTAGGGATAGCTAGTGTCTCACAAAGACAAATGGCATGGCCTCATAAAATTATAAAAAGAATCGACTAGTACATCTAATGGGACTACTAAGAAGATAGCTTTGTCAAGTGCTTGTGGATTGTGGCTTTAAAAAAAAATTACATCTCAACTAAAATTGCCAACTGACTTAGGATTAAAAGTAAGGTAATTAAAGGAGGGATTATGTACCTTGCAAATGATCAAGAGAATGTATTAAGTAAGACATGTGAAGAAGAAGCCTTGAAGTTTTAAGATTCAAGATAACAAAGCTAAGATATGATGTTATTTTTGGTATGCAATGGCTGAAAGTGAAAAATAAACAAATTGATTGAGTAGCAAGGACAATCTCCTTCAAAGATGGTGGATGCAAGGTGACTCTTTGTACCTCCACATCAAGTACAGAGGAAAAACAATCTGCAACTAAAGACTTACTTATAGGAATAACTTTTATGAAGAAGAAAATATGGCATAAGCAACTAGTATATATGGTGGTTCTAAATCTTACGTTAGTAGTAGAAAAGACAACCAAAGGAATAGAATGGATAGAGCAATTCATATGAGAACATTGAAATGACTTTCCAATTGATCTATTTAGTGTTGTGTCTTTTGATTGAGGTGCTTCTTTCAAATAGAACCATTGCCTAGAGTCAAACCAGTAAGTCGACCAATTTATTGTTTAGCATCAAATAAACATGAAGAGCTACAGAAAACGTTGGATAAATTCTTAGAGAAGGGACTCATTCAAAAAAGCACATCATTATGGTGAGTACTTGTACTCTTTACATCCAAGAAAGATGGTGGACTTTGGCTTTGCATTGACTATCAAGGCATCAATAAATAGACTATTAAAAATACATATCCACTTTTATACATGGATGATCTTCTTGACCAACTTTGAAGTGTGGCCATCTTTAGCAAATTGGATCTTCAAAATGGATATTAGAAAACACCTATTGCAAGAGAAGATATTGAAAAAACAACATTTTGTATACACTATGGATATTTTGAATGGCTTGTTTTACCTTTTGGCCTTACCAATGCTCCAACTTCTTTCATAGGTTACATGAATAGATTGTTTTGGATCCTTTATAATAAGTATATAATTGTCTTCATTGATGATATTCTCATATATAATAAAATCTTTGAAGAGTAGGAATAACACCTATAAGAAGTATTGCATCAGTTACAAGATAGTTGCTTCTATTGTAAGCAATCAAAATATGAATTTTGGAAGTCAAAAGTTACATTTTTGGAACATGTGGTGTCTTCCAAAGGTGTACACATGGAGCAAGATAAGATAAAAGCAATGGAGGATTGGCCAATCTCTAAGGATGCTTCTGAAGTCTAATCATTTTTAGGTCTTGCTAGATATTATTGTTCTTTTATTTGATAATTTGCACACATTGCTACATCATTGACAAACCTATTAAAGATGAGTGTCACTGATATATATATATCTCAATAATTACTTATATGATTAAGTAAAAGTAGATAAATATAGATTAATTTCATAAAATCTTCTAGAGAAGCTTTCTAGAAGCTTTGTAGATACAATTTTGACTTTAGATGTGTTTGTAGGTTAAAAACTTCCTCAAAAAGTTAACCTCATCTTTGTAGCTTGTGAAACAAGTTAATTTTGTGTAGTAGCTTGTGAAACAAGCTTACTATGTGGCATGTATATAGATAACTTACCTTGCAAGTTAAGACATGTAGTAAGCAAAGTCAACACATATTGGAAGTCTTACAAAATATTGCCACGTAATTTGTAGTTAGAGAGTATATATAAAAGAAGAAGTGAAGCCTTCTTCACTCTTATCAACACCTTTTTAGTCCTTAGTCTTGATTCAAGACTTTCTAATTTATTTTTTTTTGGCAAAAGTCATTCAAGTTCAATATTATATCATCTTTGAGTAACTTTTTAGTTCCTTTTAGTGATATAAGAGTGTATTGAGGATTTTCTTTCTTTGAGATTTATATCCTTGAAAATTTGACAAGAGTGCTAACGTATTGTTTCTATCTTGTTTTAGAAATGAGTGGATTATAACACTTCTATTGTTGTGTTTTGAAGGATGCAGACTACCCACCTTTAAATAAAAAAAATATTTTCTAATATTAATCTTTTCCTTAAAGAGAGTAGATTATCCCTCTTTGTGGTAATTTTTTATCATAAGTTGCGGACTACCCTCTTCTAATTTAATTTCTTAAATTTATTTGAATTATCCATAGAAAGAAAAATTATGGTTGTTATTCTCAACAGAAGTGAGAATAGATTTATAACTATTGTAGATCTTCATGAGCTTGTCAATATTCTAAGAATACAAATCTCACATATTTTCAATGTGAATTATAGAGATACTATGCCTATGCCTATAGAAGAAGTTTAGAGTTTACAACAAGAAGCTGTACACTTGAAGGAAGCAAGTAGATTAACTTCACAACTAAATCCATGGATTTTGCTTCTACAAGTATGATGGTGTCGGGGTAGAGAGAATTTGCCTCAAAAAAGTGTTGGACTTCTAGTTGCCACTAAATGCTCAATCAAGTCTAAGATATAAAGTACCAAGTTTATATATATAATATATTTCCTTTTAGGGCAATTACATCAAAACATAAGTCCAAGTACCATGAAAACATCCAAATGTATGATAAAGTATCTTAAAACCTTATATATATCTTTATGAGAGATGTTTCTTGAACTTCAACAGCTCATATCTCAGGATTGGACTATCCAAAAAACCTTAAATTTTACACAAAGTACTAATATGCTTTCAAAAACTACTACAAAAAAAATTCAATCACAAATTCATTACAGATCTAGAGATATCACGAAAATCCTAAGAGTAGCTTTAAACCCTAGCTTACATACATCTGCATGCTAATTTCTTCATATCTCATAAAATAAGTACTTTAATACCATGAAACTTTGATCTATAGCTTTATAACTTAATAAATCACACTTACGAAAATTTTAAGCCAAAAATTCATCTAGAAACTCAAGATATGGCACCAACCATTACTATCAATAAAATGACTCACGTATTGCCTTTGAATTAAATGTGCTATCTTCAATGCCCTATAACTCCTTCATCTAAACTTAGAATTCATCAAAAAGTATATGGAAAGTGTAGCGAAGTAATTTTTCTCTCCAATTCTAGTCGCCGATCTTTTATTGCTCTTCGTATGCATATGTTATGCTTCAAAGTGTGATAGTAGCTACATATTTAATACCTTAACTTTGAACACCTATATCTCCTTCAAAAAAACTCGAAATCATACAAAATCTTCACCCAAATTATACCCAAAACCCTGAACTTATTGATCTTAACTTCCAAAGTTCAA